AATTATGACATAACATGCACTTTGAACAAATATAACAGCCAAACATGGTATAATATATGCTATTATTAAACAATAAATAAAAAAATCTATAATGGACAAATAATGTGAAGTTGTGAAACTTTAGCTTCCTTTTGCAAGAACTTGGATGAAACAAACCTGATCAACATCGCAAACACTTAAAGACAGAATAATACAATTTACAACATACATGTTAAAACAAAATACAAAGAACAATTCAGAAGATTTTGTACAAAAAAGAATAATTGCACATTTCAACAGTGAAGGCACTTAGTGAAGACAAGTGAACATCTGATTTTTTTAAGTAATATTAATGTTTTATCAAAAAATCAAAATAGATTAGTGCGTTATTATATCTTTTATAACAAATGCTGCCGCTAATGGTAGAGTTATAGAGATTAATAATAATAAACGGAGCAATTTCAGTATAGGTCCCCTCAGCATCGGTGCTCGGGCCCTGATCATCCCGCACTGATCCGTTTGGGATTCATTTGCCCTCCACCATTACAAACTGAAAGTCGTATTGATGTCCCGTTATCAGCAGGGATCAGCGGAAAACATTTTCGATAAGGGAATAGAGTTTTCCGCATCATTTCTCTGTAAGAAAACACATTTACAGAAGGTTAAAACAAATGTGTTTTCTGAGTGCTCTTTATTCTAAAGTAAAACACCACAAGAGAGCAACTCTCGCTTCAGTCAAGATATATTATTGGTGTTTCTATGCAGTGATTTCTGAGTGCAGAAACACATGCTGAACACTTAAAGTGATAGTTGAGACCAAAATGAATATTCTGCCATCATTTACTCAACCTCAAGTTGTTCCAAATCTGCATGAATTTCTGTCTTCTGTTGAACACAAAAGATATTTGAAGAGTGTTTGTAACCAGACAGCAGCCAATGACTTCCATAGTAGGAAAAAATACAATGGAAGTCAATGGCTACAATACATTTTTTTGCTTACCAACATTCTTCAATATTTTCTTTTGTGTTCAACTGAAGAAATACATTTTATGCAGGTTTGGAACAACTTGAGGGCGAGTCATTTTCATATTCGGGTTAACTATCCCTTAAAGCCTCGATCAGACTGTCAGTGCAAATCAGATTTTTGTGGATATCAGATTGAAACAGAATTATATTTATCAAGTGTGAAAAGCAAAAAAAAAAAAAAAAAAAAATCACATGAAATATGATTTTTACGAATCCGTTTTGAGTTACATGGGCAACGTTCACACTCTGAAAAAATAGAGATATTGTCGCATACATGACAATGTGTAACCATTGCGCTATATCTGTCTTCTGAGGCAGAAAGTTTCCTAAAACAAAGTCTGACGTTTACATTTTAAGTCACATAAACCATGCGAAATCTGATCAGAGCAGTCAGACTGAAACAGATTTTTTTTTTTTTTTTTTTTGTATTTCACAACATAAACTTAGCTCAAAACGGCTTTAAAAAAAAAAAAAATAAAATCAGTGCCTAACGGATTTTAAACAGATATGCACAAAAATAAGATTTGGACTGACAGTCTGTAATCCAAACCACATTTCTTGAAATCCGTTTCAGTCTGACTGCTCTGATCTGATTTTGCATGTGTTTTGTCACTTTCGCACACCACGTAAATGTAACGACAGACGTAGTTTTAGAAATCATGCAGGAAGTCCCTGCTGAAACAACATGTGTTGTTGCAAAATGCCGGACGAGCAGAAAATGACAATAAAAGGGAAGAATGCGCTGCGTTTGCAATCAAATACTTATCTACTTTATAGTATACGAAAAACAGAACGCCAACATAGTAGGTTATTTAAAAAAAAACAGTAGGCGTAAAAGGACCTGGATGAACTGCTTCCGGCTGAGATTCTGAAGTGTGTATACGATGAACCCTACTGACTTTACTATAAGGCATCGGGAGCGAGTTTGTGAATGGGCTCTATGCACGGCGGTATTTCCGGTGAAGGATTAAGGATGCTCGATAACTTCCGCCGATCGTAGAGTCCAATGCAATACCGAGAATTTATATTGAATTTTGTTATAATAAAGAAACGTTAGTCACAAAAACAGATAAAACAGACACCCCTCGTTTATGCTTCTTTTAAAAATTATATTAAATAAACATAACTATATATAAAATTACATCTAAACGCATGTACGTTTCGTTTCAAAGACGGGAGGACAGTACATTTTGAAGACTCTGCCATAATCCCGTTTTCTCCGGTTTCCCCTCCGCTTTAATCCCTACAACCGGAAATGGACGAGCATCCTTACGTCAAATGCGGAACTTATGAGTGCAATGCATATAGCCCATTGAGGTGAAGGGACGTAAAACACTGGTAGGTCACATGACAATGACAACATGGCGGATGTAGTAGTTTGTAGAAGTTTGAAGTCAAATGTATCTAACATAGTACATAGTGATTTACACATGCTCTAAAACACACAGAGACGACAGCACGGTATAAATTCTGTTCGGACTAAATTAAAAAAAAAAGTCTGCCACTGATTCAGAAGATGCTCTACACCTTGCTTCTCATTACAATAAATCCTCATCATCATATTTAAATTTGACTGGTTTGTGTGAGATGTCTTCCAGTACAAGCTCAGGATTTTAATGTCGCACGCCTATTCTCATAGACTAAAACGTGTTTGTAACACTACCAATGCAATGCCATTGCCATAGAAACCAGTGCAGATATTCCAGAAAATAAATGCCACAGGACAGATCTGAACAGGCGCAAAACTGGACAGTCAATAATTTACATTATATATTATTCCAATCGGAAAATAATCAGATTTGAACCGAGAGCCTTACACTTGCGTAAATTGCAGATCTCACAAATCAGAATCGGTTGTGAAATCAGTTTGTGTTTTTTTTTTTTTTTTGCAGACAGATTCAGTGCACATCTTACCTCATCATGATTGTTCTCCCTCGTGAAGCCTGTATAAACAACAACAACAAACTCAATTAACTTACTTTGGTTAATTTGAATAAAAATACACATATTTTTAAAGATTGTTTTGCTCAATAGATCTCATGCCTCCATCCTGTCAAATCAGTTGTATAAAATACTTGCCATTATTATGTCCTGCTTGTGTAGGTTTCCTGTGGCGACGGTAATTCACAGAAGCAACTGCAGCCACGACCAGCAGAACAACAACAGCAACACCAACACATATTCCTGCAGCTGAAGACACACCTGAACCTGGAACAGATAAAGACACACTTTAACAAATCAACTTTAACAATATACATTTGACTGATATTTATTCCCCGTCTAATTCACTCATCAGTGTGATGGTAATTTATTTTATAAATGGCGCCATCTGGTGATTTTTTTTTCTTCCTGTTTTTTACTAGCCTGGGTTTCCCCATTCTGCCTTGCCACAGTGATTTTATTCGCGCTGCTAGGCAGTCTGGAATGGATACCATGAACCAAATTTTCCCCTGAAATAGGGAACCAATCACAGAACGGGGAGGGAGCACAGGCGCATTTGATAGACATTCATAGCACCCAATAATACAGCTCTGGGCATTCGTAAACCACGCCTCAAATTCGAGAACATGAATGTGGTTTCTAGACCACGTCTCATTCTCAATGATACGTGGTCTGGCGTTAGCCAGGCTAGTTTTTTACAGGAAAACTGACAAATATTATGCATTTTTCTTATTAACAATACTTAACTATTGCAAAATTCAGAATGTAAACAAAACTCAATGTAACGGGAAGATAATAGAAATGGTCTCAGTTACATTTTAATATTGAGTCAAAACTCACTTTTTGTGAAACTAACAGCCGCCAGTGAACATGCACAGGCTTGATTTACAGAATATATTTAAAAAGGTTTTCCAGAAATCCAAAGGAAAAGCACTGAATGTCTACATGATACTCACCAGTGACATTAACCGCAGAACTCTTTATGCTGACAGTCACATCGAAGCTCCTTATGATGCTGATTCTTCTGATGTTGATCTGTAGTTTATAAACTCCAGAGTCTGTGTTTGTGGTGTGTGTGATGTTCAGAGATCCAGTCTGATGATCCAGTTTCAGTCTGTCTCTGAATCTCTCTTTACACTGAACATCTGTGCAGATCTGACTCTGATCTCCAGTGATTTCAGCGATGAGAATGTCATTATAATACCACAACACCACATAATTCGGGCTTTTTATTACATAAGTAGCTAAAGTAACAGATTGTCCCTCCTTCACTGTCTTTCTCTTCACTTCATCTTGTTCAGCAACAGAAACACCTGAAACACAAACCAACAATTAATGGAGGATCTTTTGCTGATGAAAAATAAAACTGCGCACCTAAAAAAACTGTTCAAACTAACAGCTCATGATGCTAATGTTTCAGTTTTAAAATCACACTGAACTAAATTTGTAGTTAACTATACACATACCATTTTAATAATAACTTTTTTTGGAAGAGATTATCAATCTGCATGTAAATTAATACACAGATTAAGAAATAAAATACAACAAAAAAACATCACTAAACATTAATGTGATTTTAAAGTAAATGACTTTTAAATATCAACTCACCAGTGACGGTAACACTGAAGATCGTTTCATTGTTGCTGCCGTTGATGATCACTAGTTTATATTCTCCAGAGTGTTTGTTTGTGGTGTTTGTGATGGTCAGAGATCCAGTCTGATGATCCAGCTTCAGTCTGTCTCTGAATCTCTCAGTGCCTTCATTACACTGATCATCTGTACAGATCTTACTCTGATCTACAGTGATTTGAACGATGCGAATGTTGTTAAAATACCATTTAATATATTCTTGTTGGTTTGTTTTAACACCAGTGTTTAGAGTGACTGAATCTCCCTCCATCACAAACACTGACACTGTCTCTGTATCAGCACCAGACGCACCTGAAGACGAAATTAACAGATAATTAGGCTATGTTCCAAACAAAAACACAGAAAAGTGATACAAAAAAAAGTTTTTTCTTCAGATCATAAAACATTGTTAGTATACAGAGTTCAAAATGTGTGATTCCCTTTTTGTATTTGTGAATTTGTGCAATCAAGTATTTTCATTGTAATGAATATTACACCTTCTTCCCATGATATACTTTTGGGAAGATACTTTTTTTAAATAGTCTAGATTAGATTGTTTAGTAAAAGTTTGTACTCAATCAATGCGTCAAACACGCTGAAGATCTCAGATTATTTTTCACATTTTATTTAGTTAGGTCAGAGGTTGTGGGGATTTAATGTCGAGCCTTCCCTATCATCAGGAGATACACATACACCGGTAGGCAGTGGCCCACCTTGGTGACTACGTCGTGGTCCACCAGAATTTATAGTTTATCCACCTCTTTTTTACCACTACACCTCTGACTGCAATGGATAGTTCCATTGAAAAAAACGGAAGTTAAAAGTGTAATTAAAACAGAGGGTCAATAATTTATGGCAAGAGCAATGGGAAAGGGAGACAAAAGGTCGATTTTTATATAAAGTGCAGAAGCAATTAAGTGACTACAAGGATTGGGTGTTTGGAAACGAAGGGGAGAAACACTGATCACAAGATTAAGGATTGGACATACAGGTCTCAATTATAATCTCAGTCTTTTAGGAAAACATACAACTGGAACATGCTTTAATGGGCTTTATGCCCAGCTGCACTACTTCCTGAACTTAAGCCAGCTCCTTGTTTCCTGTCTGCCATTATTGGCCAAATTGATTAATTCAGGTGTGCTTGACCTCAGTAGTCATGGCAACAATAATCAGACACACCTGAATTAATCAATTTGGCCAATAATGGCAGACAGGAAACAAGAAGCTGGCTGAAGTTCAGGAAGTAGTGCAGCTGGGCATAAAGCCAATTGTGACAAAAGAGAGACTGTAGAACATGTATTATTAGAGTTTGAAGCATACAGCAGAGAGAAGCATATAGGCTACTGTTCATCAAAGAATTAGGATATACCCAGTTTTCCGTAGAGGGTTTACTTTCTACTTTCACCAGCCAGTTCTTGTGAGGTACTTAAAAGAAACCGATTTATTTGATAAAATATAAAAATAAGATCATTTAGTTTTTTTTTTGTCTAAATCCCATTGAAGCTCCACAACTCGAACAATAGGTGGCGGTAATGCACCAAATTGGTATGCCAAACGCCAGACGAAGAAAAAGACAGACACGTCACACTATCTGTCTTATTAGGCCGTTTACAATACTTCCTTTAATTTATTTGATACTGAAATTGGGAAGATTTGTTTTGGCCCCGAAGTCGTAAATGTAAATAAAACCATTCGTTCATTGTTTCAAAAAGATATTGTCACTCACGAGGCCAAACTGTAGGCTATTGTTTACTGGAATAGACTGGTTGAAGGTTATGGAAGGCCATCTGGACTTTACCAAACAAATATTTATTGGTAAACAAAATAAAGGAAATTAGCTTTAAAATCTTACACAGGTAGCCTACTACCCAGTAAATAATTTTCTTGTTAAATTTAAAAAGGATATTGATCTGAACTGTTCTTTTTGCAATACATTGCCTGAAACGTTGTTTCATCTGTTTTGGCATTGCGCTCATGTAAGAAAGTTTTGGAAAGATTTATCTAGATTTATAATTCACAATATTGACCCCTCTTTTTCTTTGTGTTTAGAAAATGTTATAGTTGGTTTTAATAATATTCCTTCAAATAAAGGGAAAGAATACTATATTATAAATTTAATTTTAATTTATGCTAAATTCCATATACATAAATGCAAGTACAATAAAACCAAACCTTTGTTTTTGGTTCTTGAAAAAGAAATGCAATTATATATCAAAACTATCTTTCATTCCCACAATAAGAAAGCAATTAAAACTATTTCGATTTGTGAATCCTTTAATATTTTTATATAATGTTTAGTATTTTAGGATGTCGGCGCCAAAATTCGATCAACTGCTCTCACAAGTCGTCCGCTTTCTCCCGGACACTCACCAAAATCACCGCAACCCGATTGGAGCTTCGCATAGGCTTGCAGTGACTTTGCTGTACCTTACGACAGGCATCAGCCTGCAGGCACTCTCTGCCAGCTACAAAATGGGCACCAGCACTGTTTCAGGCATTGTAGATGAGATGTGTTGTGCCATCTGGGATGCCCTTCAGGGGGAGTTTATGGCCTTTCCTTCGCGCAGTCAGTGGCAGGACATAGCGGAGGACTTTTGGAGACAGTGGCAGTTTCCCCTATGTGTCGGAGCGATTGACGGGAAGCATGTTTGCATCAGAGCACCACCACGATCAGGCAGCGACTTCTACAATTACAAAGGTTTTTTTCTATTATACTTATGGCAGCTGCTGATGCGAACTATAGATATATTTACATAGATGTCGGCGCCTTCGAGCGTGAGAGCGATGGAGGTGTCTTGGGCTGCAGTGCGTTTAGATCCAGAGAGGGAAAGCTCAATCTGCTCCTGGTGTCTTACCGGCACCACAACGCCCAGTCCTTTTTTTTTTCCTGGGAATTGAGGCATTTCCCTTACAGGAGAACCCGATGCGACCCTATCCAGGTGGGAATAAAAATAATTGATAGCACAGCAGACCTGCTCAATAAAATAGCCCAGTAGCAATGAAAAAGAGAGCGTGCACTTAGCTCGTTTATAGATTGTTATATATTAGGCCTATTGTTAGTAACATTCTCCTTCTCTGACCACGCACAGACTGTGCCATTACGCGCAGTATGCGTAATTGGCGTCAGCCAAGTCATCTGTTCTGTCTTGTTACTGCACTGACACTTATTTGTATTCTCTTTAAGGCACGAACCTGGTTCAACCAGACTCTAGTTCATTTCATTTCCACATAGAGTCTGGAACCGCTCCATTGAAAAACGTTTCCTTCCTTGTAGGCGGGTTCACTATTAAAGTTCAAATCTATTGGATCTGCCCAAAGTCACTCACGATCTGCCATAGCCAATCGCTAACGGGGTGTCGTGAGTGACGTATGTCACGCGCCGAAATGGCTGGAAACAACAAGTCCGAAAGATCAGAGGATTATGTTTACAATAGGATTTCAGTCAACGAGCGCCGTAGGTTTTGTTAATCTAGGTACAATTATTAATTCGAAATGTATATTTGACACGAAGGACAGTGATATATTCATTCAACGGTGGAAGCTGTGTCTAATCATTACAGATACGCCGCTGTGGTTGTTTCTGATCTGCCGCAAATGCTGTAGCAGCTACAGTGAATGATCAGTCTGTCTCTATCTGCAGATGTGTAATAAACAACAATTTTTTCATATGTCTTATTGTTTCTTAATTACCTTAATTATGGTCTTCAAAGTATGTGTTTGTACATTTTTATGTGGCATTTATTTTTTTTAGAAAAACATCAACCATTGCCATCTAAAACTGAATATCAAATATCTTCAAAGTATGGTTTTTCACATTTTTATTTATGACAATTATTTTTTTTAAATCACAACCAATTTGTATGATTTACAACATGTAAAACTGACACACCAACCTCCTGCACGAGTGCACAAAGGGGCTCAAAATGTTCTATTCATCACAAGAATCAGTAAATTTACAGTTGGGAATATGAGCGACTGACATGACTCCTGAGCGGATCTTCAACAATAGTTTAGCAGCCAGGACTCGGGGCTTCCGAACACCGCGAACACCAGGCTAAACCGTCCGTCCAAAATGTCACGGTCATCGTGCACGAGCTGCCCAGCACAAACTTCCAAACTTTCTGCCTCCTTCACTTGGTCCTCAGTTGTGCAACAAGAGGTTAGACGATAACAATCCGGCTTTAAATTCTGTATATTCGGCAGTTTCTTTTCCAACAACGGACCATTACTGAACAATTCATTACTGAATTGAAACTGACGCGCTTACATCAACGTCATCTTTCTCAGCCACTCCCTCTATTCGCTGATTGGTCCTACAAAAAAAATGTTTTCTGGAAACCTAAGGATTATGGCGCGATCCCAGACGTATACAGAAGTAAAATGAAATTGAGCGGAAGCAGTGCCGGCGCTATGGGGGGGCATTAGGGGGCAATGCCCCCCCAAATGTATTTTGTGCCCCCCCAAATTGAATTATGATATAATTTACAAAATAATATCAGTTTAATTTAATTCACATTTCAGTGAGAAATAGTACAAATATATGTCTACAAACGGCTCATTAGCTGAATATACAATAAAGCCAACATAAAAACCAGTGTGACGCTGTGAGGAAACCCCCCTGCCGCCCCCCCAATCACGCACGTTAATACTTGAATGAAATGATTTTCAGTTGGCGCGACCGCGCGAGCTTCCTGCATTCAAAACAAAGTAAACAGATGAAAACTCTCCAAAAATGGAAATTAGAAAATGGTTCAATACCACAGTTTCTCCTTACACATCGATTACCCCATACAGCAAGACAACGACAGCCCGGCTTTGGTATTTGGTGCTTCTACCGTGCAGTGTTGTAGTCGAGACCGAGACCAAAGACAGTCGAGTCCGAGTCGTAAGTGTAGCTATTTATCTAACTGGCATGTACTGTAATGTTCACTATGTGTTGTCACGTGATGAAACTAATAGTTTAGTTGGCCTAGTTTTTGCGCTGCCCATTGTCCTGAAATGTCACTCACTCCCGCCGTGGAGAAACAGGTGTTTAAGCCTATATTTTCTTGTAAATGGAAATTGTAGAATAATATCTGTGTATGTTGTGGGTGTTTTTTATTTGTTAAAGGTGTTAAAGGTTTTATTTGATAAAGGTATACATGATGCTTTTTTAAGGCTACGAATGTAAATGCTTATGTTAGAACATAGCAGAATAAAGATGAGTAACTTAGCTTTTTTTTTCTCACTTCCGCCATTGAGATAGCATATAAACGGCTATTCTGTCAGTGAGAGACTATGTACATGTTCGTTAGCTTTGCTATTATAAAGCTGTGGTCAGAGTCGGTCTTGCAATTTTTTTTTTTGTATAGGCCTATTTAACCCTTGATCAAATTTCTTAAGAGTCGCTCGTCTTGCAACAATGTGTAATGTTTTATGTGTTTATTGTGTGGGTTGCATTACTTCATGTTAATAGCTAACAGAAAAGGCAGTAGCAATAATAAATATAGGATATCTAATATCGGAAAAAAAGTCCCCATATCTACCTAGTGCCCACCCATTGAAAATAAATGCCCCCCTGCTAAAAACGGTCTGAAGCCGGCTCTGAGCGGAAGTGCGTAGGAGGGCGCAGCCAGGCTACGAACCTGCAGGATAGGAAGCGAATTTACAATTACCGACAGGCCAGGGCGAGACGCGTGGTGGAGAATGCCTTCGGTACCCAGGTGAAAAAGACGTTGTATTAAATGTATTAAAAATATATTTGAAATACAAATAGTGTGTTTATAATACATTTGTATTTACAACATGCTTATTTAAAGTGTACTAAAAATGTATTTTATTGCATTTTAGTATATTTCTAAAAAGTATAGCCTACTAGAAGTACATTGGTAATAAATATATATTTAATTACACTTTTAAGAAATATACTATAGAAAAGCATACTTTTAATGTATTTGTAAAAAGTATATTAGTAATATATTGGTAATAAATGTATGCTTTATTATATTTTTAATAAATATGCTAATGATAATTATACTTTAAATGTATTTCTAAAAAGTATATTAGAAGTACATTGGTAATAAATATATGTTTAAATACACTTTTAAGAAATACACTATAGAAAAGCATACTTTTAATGTATTTCTAAAAAAAGTATATTATTAGTACATTGGTAATAAATGTATGCTTAATTATATTTTTAATAAATATGCTAATGACAATCATGCTTTAAATATGTTTCTAAAAAGTGTACTAGAAGTACATTGGTATTTAATTACATTTTTAAGAAATATGCTAAATACAAACATATTTTAATTATATTTAAAAATGTTTTACTAGAAACGCAATGATAATAAATATACACTTAATTACACTTTTAGAAATATGCTAAAAACAAACATAGTTTTAGTGAAGTTTTAGTGTCTTTACAGAAAGCATACTTGTTGCTAAATTAAAGTATTTTTTGTGTTCACTTCAAGTTTAAAAATTCAAGTCCCTTTAATTCCCTTCCTAACATGAAGGCAATTAAACATGTATCGAAATTAATTGTATATTTCTACAAAGACTAGAAGTAGCACTTTAATTATAAATATGTGCTCAGTTAAGCTTTTAAGAAATATACCAAAAACTACCACACTTTTTGTAATACTACCAACACTTAACTCAATGCATATATTTCACACTTTATATTATGTGTTTTAGGTTTAACTTTTTTAAATTAATTTGTTATAATTATGAAAAGCACTAAAATTTGACTAACAAGAAATGCACTTCTATACTTCTGCATTAATTAATCAAATAGTCTTTTCCACAATACAAGTGAATACCAGTACTTGCACACATCAACATAAAAGATCAGGTGTACATACTAGAAAAACAAAATAAATTTCTTAAAGCTTGACTCTTACATTTGTTTAGCCAAAATTAATTAAAAAAAAAACTTGTTATAAAGCATGTTAGGTTTATATTAACAGAGTTGTTTCTTTTTTTGTGGATGTTAGTTAATATTTCCAGTTGCATTCATTTGGAACAATCAGAGCCAATCTTTTCAAAACAAGCTTGCCGGCAATTGTCCAATCACACACTGCCATTTGAACTTACATGTTGGGCGGGGCGCGGACAGCGGATACTGACTGTCACTGTGGTATTCCTAGATTTCCTACTTCGGATATTTCAACAGAAATCATGTATTTTCCAAATTTTGCTTTGTTATTTCACTGACTCGGACCTAGTGAATGTGGATAGCACCGATCTAATATTAAGAGAAAACACGAGCAGATTACCAGGTCGTCAGCTCCCGCGAACAATTTAGCAGTGAAGAGGACAACGCAGAGGTGCGCCGCCACGACATGGACAGAGCAAGATACTGCCAGAAAAGATCTTACTTCTTGGTGGTAAGTTTATTAGTTTAAGTGATTAGTATAATTGGCTTTATTCTCACTTTGGGTTTAGAAAATATTTTCAGAAGTTGATGACGATGTTCTGTGGATTACTGGCGTTTCTGTTGATTTGACACTAAAGCGAGTTAATCCATTGACGTCTATCAACTTAATTGTTATAGATCTAGACAGTGACATAATACAACTATAAAAACATTGCACTCTGTGTTTGCAGAAAAAAGGTTATTAATGGTGATTACACGACAGGCTTGATTGTCCCTAAGTAACTTCTTGTGTTTTAAATATTATAATATATTTTAAGCTCTAATAAAACTTTCACATCTGTGATATTTAATTCATAGTAAAATCTAATTAATTATTAGTAGGCTGTCAGTTTTCATGTCAATTCGATAAATAAATTAAGTTGTAATCACCAACTATAAGCTTTCACAAAACCAATTATTAAATATCTTGCACTGAGAAATTAAAATGATGTTAAATAATGAAATGAGAGATTTTATATTTAATATTTAGCCTAGCCAAGGAATTTGCACATTGCAAAGACATTTTTTTTATTAAACCTAACCGTGAGTAGATGAGGTCAAGTCGAGTAAGTAGTAGTTGATCCTCTTGATTTGTAACTTTTTGTTGGTGAAAAAAAAAAAGGCAATAGTGTGTCATGTAGCAGCTAAGTAACTAAGTGACCTATTATATTTTAACACGTATTTGAAAAATGAATAT